TGCTGCCTTCCCAGCCAGCCTTCATGTCGCTTTTCACCCATTGCTGACCGAAAACTGAAAAACTGTTACCCTCGGTGCTTTGTACACTCTGGTTGTTGTGGAGACCAGCTGTTTTCTTACTTTTAATTCTCTTTTTCCAGCACAAGCCATCCTTTAACACTTGAGCTGTGTCAGGCTCCTCCCTCAGCAATCTCAAGGCCGTGTCTGTTCTCTGAAGCAGTGCCTGAATGCAGTGTCCCTGTCCCTCCTGCCCTTCTCCCTCCAGTGATCGGAAGGGAATAGGTTCACAGCTCCAAAACTCTTCCTCCCCCTTATCTTTTGCAGAGACCAAAGTGACTCCAACAGGAGCCCAGCCCAGGTGACAAGCTGGGTAGGATTCAGTGCTGAATGGATATCATTTGAGCAAGCAGGTAGGTGCAGGGCAATAACAACCATGATGCAGATGGGACAGATGAATTATTTGTAGTGTTACTAATCGCCATGGCCTTTAATGCTAAACCTTCTTGGCTTGGTCCAGATGAGCAAGTCTAGTACTGCTTGGTGTTAAGCATCACACAAGTAGATGCCAATCTGCATAAGCAGTTCCTCTGACAGATTTTGTAAAATGGAAGCACCAACCTGCTCTCTTATCTCTTCCAGAGAAAATGGCAAACAACGGACACCTGACATGCTGAGGACTGCAGTGTCAGGGCCACTGGGACAAGGAGACATCCTCCAGCCAGGAAAGAAACTACTGACAGTCAAGGTAGAGGTTCCTTTGCTGGCACAGTCTCCGCAGAGAACTGCGGAGTTGTGCTCATGCTCTGCTTGCCAAGCTGTTGAATATTAAATGAAATGTAGGAGTGAAAACGTGAAAGCGTAAGAGCGTGAAGGGGACAACTACAGAACACAAGGTGTCCCTCCTCCATATCTTGACATGCTATGAATGGCTTTTCAGCCTGATTTTTCATTTGGCAGGTATAACCTCATTCCAGTTTTCTGGGAAGAACTGGTCCTCAGCTCTTTAATTCTCTCTGCGCAGTTAAGTCTCCTGGTTCATTCCTTTGCTCCAGCACAGCTGAAAGGACTGAGAAGCTTCTGTGTAACCCGTGAGCGTTTCAGGATATCCAGCTTCCCCTCTTCATGTAACACTTTCATAAAAATCAGCTACTTTGCCCTCCCCTCCTTTGCAGAATATTGATGCGATGGCTGGAGACAACTGTTTTGTCCTGAGCGTTGTATCTACAGCAGCAGCTCATTAGCTCCTCTTTGCCCCTAAAAAGTGCTTCAGGTCATGGCACAAGCCTTAAGCCTAGGGTTCAACAACTTCTGTTGTTTCACAATTAGGGAAACGGAGGTACAATCTAGTTTCACACACCA